TGCAATAATGTTGGAATGCACAAATATACATTTTTGCTGCATCATCCTTTTATCTCCCTAAATAATGGTTTATAGACATACAAATGAAAATGAAGACTTGTATCACATGGCTGAAAGCTACCCCTGAATTAGCAGATCAATGGTTAAATTAACAGTAGATTAGATATGTTGTTACATTGTAGATAAGTCAATCCTGTCCTGTCTCCCCATGGAGATTACCTTCCATAGTTGCTGATTAAGATCTTTCTGTTTCCCTCCATTCACCACTGTTCTGTGCTTAGACATGAATAAATGCATAGCATGCAAAGCATGAGCAATGGCATAGACAGCATTGTAGATGGTGTAGCTGTGAGCAGTCATGCTTGTTTCAAAGATAGATGCAGGAAGAGTGTTCAGCTTCTCTTCACCAGTGCAGATGTTCTCATCACCCATGTCTGCAGTGGAACTTGGGAACAAGCAGTTAAATGCCTGTTGCCAGAAGTCCACCAGAAAGCCATCTTCCTTTTCCAAAGTAGGGTTCCTCTTCTCAAGAAATTGCTGGAACCCCAGGACCTGCTCTGAATGAATTGCAAGGGATATAGAGCCATGAATGAAATGAATATCCCAATCTTTTTGGAATGGAAGGAGCGTGAAATCCATATCTGCTGTCATAATCCAGACTTTAGCCCTCTCAGGTATACTGTCAAATTTTGCACCATAGAGCAAGATAATCAAATTCAGCATACTGTGGAATTCACCATGGAAGATCACTGTACTGGCTATGCTTTCCGTAATAATGCTTATTGTTCGACGCCCTCCTTCTAGGATTTCATTCATGTCATCGGAACGTACAGTAATTTTTCGTATGAAGTCAAAACAGATACCACTGATGGAAAACATGGGAAACACACTCCGCATCAATGTCTCAGTTATACTGCCAATATTAAGATAAATCAGCCCTATCCATGTCCACCTAAAGTGCAGAAGAAGCTGGACAATCCCCCTATATTGATAATCTCCACCAGGGAACATCCAATGTACAAAGACAGCTTGATTTTTCATATTCTTCTCCAGAGCAGAGCTAAACGTTAGCTAAGGGAAATGAAGTAAAGCAGAAGAGATGAAGACAGTAAATAAATCTGGGGTATGTGATTTTTGTTTGATCTATTGCCCCAGTTTGCATATAGTAGTAAGCTATGATGGTTGATTTTATATAATGTGGGGATAAAAAATAATGTATCTGTGATTTGGAAAACTATCCATATTATTCTCCACAGCTGATTGCAATGGGCAAAAAAATACAAACTCCCTCTGGATCTTAAATGGAACAGTAGTCCCAGGATTCGAGATGCTTAATGAGAAACCAGTCCTATGACAAGGACTGCAAGCCTCAACCCAGTGTTGCACCAATCCACCATGACTTTGAAGCTGTAATGAGCTGTAATGATTTTGAGAAGCAGGTCATTGTGACCTGATCCATTGGCAGCGGCAGCAGCATTGTGTGTACAATTTTCTAACAAGAATGCTGAGGAAGGGTAAGTACCCTTGATACTTACCCTATAGTATGAAGGGTAAGAAATGGTTGATATCCACTCTTCCATTCTTATAAAGAGTACATCTTATGAAATATACAAAGTAATCTTAAAAATGAGTTATAAAGAGTACTTTGTCCCAAAGGGCTAAGTAATGATAAATATGAAAATGAAAACATACATTTAAGCAGATACAAAGTGATATTGTGTTGTTACTAATATCACCCAAGCCACTGAGTGATTAAATGAAAAGTGTAGATCACATCATTATCTCTGCAACATGAATCAGATCCCTAGTCTTACCCAAAACATCCCTTTAAATAAATACTTTTCATCTTCTAGGCCAGGAGTGATTTCTACAAAGGTTCAAACCATGGAGCATCCTGTGACTGAAATTCAGCCTCTTGTGCCCTTACTTGAAATGTAGCTTTCTTCAACATAAAGGTGGAGAGGAAGCAAGGATCTGATGCTTCATTTTCTGCATAGTACTTTTCTGCTTTGACACCTTCAAAGAGACACTTCTGTGGAGCAAGAGAAATCTGGCAACCCCATTAGAGTGCACCAGAAGTAAGAATGGGCAGGGACAATTGAGTCTCTTCCAGCTGCTCTTTATGATGACTCTTAAGAAAGCACACACACTTAAGGGTAAGAAATAGGGGAGATCTGCCTTTGGATCATAGCAACTAGTACTGACACTGAAGTTGCAATCTGCCAAAATCTATTCATGAAAGAAAGGCTTGCTTCTATCACAGGCTGAATGAGTTTTTGAAGTGTGTAACCCCCTAGGAAAAAGAAGGTGTAGAAGTTACGCAGGCTGAGATCTACTCACTAAAAATGGTATCCTTGCCCAAAATACAGACATGTTTGCAGTGTGTTTGTGAAATTCTTTACTACAAAATAATACTAACAAAGTCTAAGCAGCCAGATGGCTTTTCAGACTCCCACATCCACTATCAGGAACTTAGATCTAAGCTTTGACCTGGGGAGCTCACTTTCCCACCCCTCAGCCAGCTCAGGCAGGTCCACCAGGGCTGCTTCTCTAAGGTCATAAGAGTAACACTGAAGAAGGTTTTTAGAGGACATTCTGAGTGGAAAGGAATTGAGGACTGAGGGGTGGCCAGGACTCAATCAAACATTGCCCATTCTTGCTTTTGATAAGGAGCTACACAACAAGATGTTCAGCAAAAATACAAAGATACATTGTATTCTAACAGAAGAAACTACACACATAAAGATGAAATATCTCTGAAGATACTGCTTTTAATTAAAAAATTTCATCTAATATCACACTCACACTCAAATTTCCATCTAATCTCACCCTAACCATTCAAAAAGAAACCTTCTAAAGGCTAGGAAAGCTGGTATGTAGTTTTCTCCTCCTCTGCTCCATACACACAACATACCAGTGGTAGCTTGTAGATGCTCAGGATCATTGCCATGTCCAGGCAGTCATTTGTGTTTGGTCCCCCAATGACAGCAGCCAGATCACTCTGGTGATCACATTTGTAGTTAGCAATGAATCTGCTTGGGGTTGAGAGAAGTCCCATGGTGGCAACATAGGTATATCTGGCATTAAAATAGTTGTTATAGATGCTGAAGCCCAGGGAAGTATTGGGTAAGATCTGGGGGTTTGCATTAATCTCCTTTACAGTGAAGACCAAGGCCAAGATGTGCTGGTAGCTCTGAGTCAGAATTCTACAATGGAAAATACAAGGTGCAATACTGCATCAGAAAGAGATGTTATGTATCTTAGGAAATGGGAAAATGCTCAGTTTTGCTTTCTCCTATGCTTAATGAAAGTAAAATCCAAAGTTCGTTCTTTCCTCGTTCGTTCTTTCTTTTCAACAATTTAAGAAGACTCCTAATCCTTTCCCCCTTCTGCACCAAATTCAATAGGCAGAGCTGTTCTCTGCTT